ACAACCATGACCCAGGCCAGACCAAATACCCTTTAAGGCCATATTCGATGGCTGCCATGAACATTTCAATTACTTCCTCAATTGAATCTGATCCCATATAGAAAAATTTGGAGATCAATACTGTTAGGGATAACATTGTTTACCCTAACTGGTTTGGGTAAAAATAATAAATAAGTTATCATGGTTTGTTGGTTAAAGTGTGTGTAACTTTAACTACAAGAATGTAATTAAGGGTGTGGTTGTAAAAGCACCATAAAAGAAGCAAGTCAATTGCAGCTCTCTCTCTCTGGCTTAATGATCCCTAATTACTGGATGGATTGATGACTGCGTTTTTCCTTACTGGAACGGAGGAGAGAAAAGAGTGTTTATTTCTCAACGGAGAGAAGAGAAAATACGGACTGATTTATTGTAAGTGAACTGACATTGGCTATTCAACACGGACTTTGCAAATTGAGTATCCTCAACTGGACTGACTGAAATGATACATGACTAATGGACCGTTTATTTTGACTATGCTATAATTCCTAATGGAATAAACTATATTTTCTGATAGCACAAGCGTATCTGTTTTTTACTGCGTGTTAACTAAAATACAAACTTATCTCACACATTTACCTGTCTGCCTATCTGAATACGCTACACATTCTGTTTAGTTTGTTTTCCTTAACACTGTTGGGGAATTCAGGCTTAACAAATACACCACAGAGCATGATTTGGTTACGGCCATAACAAATGGGATGAATGAAGGGGATGCTTCAGACTGGGTGGCCCAACTACACAGTGAACAAGCTCCCGAATTACACAATGTAAATGGATTTATTAAATTATTAAGGCTCAGATTTGAAAATCCAGACAGGGTAGCAGAGAATGAAGAGAAGTTAATGGAAATGAGGCAAGGCAAGCGACCCTTGTCAGAATTTATTTGGGACTTTAGAAGGATCGCAAGCCACTTCATGGATTGGCCTGAAAGAATGATATTACACTATTTTAAAAATGCCATTGATCCAGAAGTAAAGAAAGCCTGTGAAATTAGGAGAATCCCAGAGACCTTACAATCATGGTATGACGCATCCCTCAGCTTAGATCGCAGCATCAACCCACATAGGAAACCCCTTCCAGCAGCCCTGCCTAAGAGAATTGTGGCTAGGAGACTGCCAACCAGATCAGCCGAACCTGCTTGTACCCAACCTACCAGGGTGCTGAAATGTTACCGATGTGGCCAAGCCGGCCATAGAGCAGCAGACTGTCTGGCGCACAAAGAGTCGCCGGACTACTTAGGCTACTGAATATCCAACCTGGGGATTGAAATGAACCCCGGAAAGGTGAAAGCGGTGCTGGACTGGCAACCCCCCAGAACCTGAAAACAAAAGTTTCTTGGCGTTTGCCAACTTCTATAGACAATTCATTCCATCCTTTGCTGAAGTTGCCCTCCTATTGACGGAGCTATTAAAAATGGGCCCGTTGCCCACCAAACCGAAGCCAAGTCAACCCCTGGCTTGGACTATGGACTGTCAGAAAGCTTTCGAGGCCTTAAAACACCACTTCGTAGATGATCCCATCCTCCAGCACCCAGATGCGACCAAGCCTTTTATTGTCCAAATGGATGCAAGTGATGTAGCGGTGGCAGTTGTTTTGCTGCAAAAGGACTCTGAAGGCCGATTGATGCCTTTGACTTATGTGTCCAAAAAGCTGACAGACACTGAGTGAAGGTGGGCAGTCTGGGAGAAAGAAGCATTCATCGTACGATGGGCTTTGTTGACTTGGAGGCATTTTCTAGAAGGGGCGCCAGAGGCCTTTGATGTATGGACTGATCATAAGAACCTCGAGGCTCTAAAGACCCCTAGGAGATTATCACCCAAACATGTCCACTGGGCCCAATGTTTCAAGCGATTCAACTTCAACATTAAATATATCCCCAGAGGGAAAATCATACTGGCGGACGCTCTGTCCAGAAAACCTGTTTGACAACCACCAAGAGGAAATAGTACAAGCCTTAATTTCAGAAGCTCAATCGGCAGGCCAAGAGACCACTCGAGCCCAAGCCAACTGCAACCCCAAACACCTGGAACATAAGCTGACTACAGAATTGAAAATGGCCCTATTGACCAATCCTTGGTTCTTGGACTATCAAACCAAGTTGACAATGAATGATGGACTAGCTTGGAAAGGGACTAAGCTTTATGTACCCACAACTCTAAGACTACTGGTACTAAAGCGTAGCCACGACTCCCGGCTGGGAGGCCACTTCGGATTCCTAAAAACCCTACATTTACTGAGAAGACAGTTCTGGTGGCCAAAAATGAAACCTGATGTCGAGGACTATGTAAAAAGTTGCTCAATTTGTGCCACAATGAAACACCAAACTGGAAAAACTCCTGGCCTCCTGCAACAAGTTGCTGAACCAACCCAACCTTGGGAAGAGATCGCAATGGACTTTATTGTTGAAATACTTAAGAGTGAAGGGAATACGATCATTTGGACTATAATTGACTTATTCTCTAAACAAGCCCATTTTATAGCCTGCAAAGGACTTCCATCTGCGAAAAAACTTGCAAAACTGTTCGTAAAACATATCTATAGACTACATGGTGTACCTTGTAGAATAATATCAGACAGGGGGTACAATTTACTGCAAAATTTTGGAGGGAATTTCTAAAATCCATTGGTTCCTCTCAACGGTTATCCTCAGCTTTCCATCCTGCTTGTAACGGAGCAACAGAGAGGGCTAACATCATGATTGAACAATACATTCGATGCTATGTAAATTATCAACAAGAAAATTGGGCTGAGTTATTACCTTTTGCAGAGGTTGCTTACAATAATGCAGTACATAGCAGCACAGGATTGACTCCATTCCAAATCAACACTGGAATGGATTTTGTCCTTGATGCCAGAGTTACCTAGACAACTTTTCTCATCCATGTCCCTAACAGAATGGATGAACTCATTAAAGAAAGGATGGGAAGATACAAAAAAAGCTTTGACTGAAGCTGCAAAAAATTATAAAAAACAGGTGGGTAAACACAGATCCCTTCAACCTCCTTTTAAAGTATGGGACAAAGTATATTTGTCAACCAAGTATCTTAGGTTGAAACTGCCCAGTAAGAAGCTAGATCCAAAATTTTTGGTCCATTCCCAGTTTCAAAGATAATCAATCCGGTCACTGTCTAATTAAGTCTTCCTTGAATATTGGGGAAAATTCATCCAGTATTCCATTGTAGTTTACTAAAACCAGCTACTTCATCAATGATAAGACCACCGCCAATCGCTCCCCCTAAACCATTAACGGTACAGGAGGAAACACATTGTGAAATTCAAAAAATTCTCGATTCTAGATTACACCATGGCCGATTGCAATACTTGGTCTTATGGAAAGGATACTCTCTCTTGGATGCTAGTTGGGTAAAGAGTTGGGATGTTCATGCTGATCAATTGGTTAACCAATTCCATGAAGATTTTCCGCACAAACCGAAGGGTCCTCATGGGGGGAGGGAGGAGAGGGGATTAAGGACAATGTGTTAACCCCTGTATCTGTTTTTTTTTCCTTTTCTTTTAGGAGGAGGAGTTTTCAAGGGGGGATGCCTGTCAGCTTTAAAATTCAGCCGCCACATTTTTTAAAGAAAGTTGGAGGAGTTGAAAAGTTCAAGGTTATTCTGTATGTCGTATTAAGAAATTCCAGTGGCAGTTAATTGGTTCTTGTGATTTATGAAGTGTAGAAGTGGGAGGAGAGAAGGGAGGAGAGAAAGTGGATTCTGTGTAATGCACGAAAATAATTTCACTTGGGAAATTGCCTTTGACATGCCAGATCTGTTTCTAAATAAATCAATTGGAGAGAAAATGTCTCGGAGTGATTAATATCATGGATACTTTCTGGATGCCTTACACTAACATGACTGGAAGATGAATTCTGGGAGTTGAAGTCCACAAGTCTTAAAACTGTCAACATGTCCTTACTCTTAGGAAGTTTCTCCTTAATTCCAGGTTGTTCCTCTCCTTGATTAGTTTCCATCCATTGTTTCTTGTCTTGACTTCTGGTGCTTTGGAAAAGAAGTTGGCCACCTCTTCCTTGTGGAAGCTCCTCAAATACTGGAATACCGCTATCATGTCACCCCAGTTTTTTTTCCTCTAGACTGGCCATATCCAATTCCTGAAACCATTCTTCATATGTTTTTATCTCCAAGCCCTTAATCATCTTAGTCATTTGATCATGTTACCCAAGAGGAGTTCAATAGAGAGAAATATATATTATACATATACAATATACAATGATATTTACAAGAAGATTGAAAACTGCATCTTTATAACCTTTCCTTTCCTTTCTATTTTTCTCTTTCTTTCTTTGCACTTGTTTCACTTATGTATTTCTTTCTTTTTGTTACTTTCTTCTTTCAAAATTTGTTGGAAATGTCCTTTAATGAAGCATGCATGCATAAAATTATTACATTAACTGCATTTCTTTCAGTTATCAAAGATAAAATTAAAATATCAAAAATATTTATTTTTTTCAAATTCATAAAGTTGAAAAGTAATTGAAGAGGGTGTAAGAATAAATTAGATTTGGGGAAAAATAAATCTAATATATTTCTAATTGCTCAGCTATTCTAACATTCTCCTAGCTCAATGATTTAAAGTAGAACCTGGGGTTTATTTTTATTGCTCCTTGATGATGATAAGATCTCAACTTTGTTACCCAGATATAAAATAATTATTAATGGTTACAAAACATCAGGCCTTTTTTGAAGACAACCTAACTACTCTCTTCATTAAATACATCTTGTAAATAATCAGAACTAAATGAAAATACTTTATTAAAAGCAAGTCCATCATTGTGAAAGAGTTTATTTTTCTTTGACATTAATAAGAATTACACACACACATTTACATTTGCCAAAGATATATAGTATTAGTAAAGTTGGCAGAGCTGATACACAACTCCTGATATTATACTTAGAAAAGGATTATTAATCAGAGCAGAAATAATTATAACCATAATTCAATAGTCAGAAATGCTTTTTCTTTACAAGTTTCTCTTTGTTGTTGAGGTCAGGCCTCAGCAAAATAATATAGCATTTGGGGGAAAAGATACATCCCAATAACCCAGCACTGGAAGCTAAAATGGAGAAGATCTCCACAGCTACCATATACTTTCCTTTGGTGCTCAAATACGTTGGAACAAAAGACAACCAAACACTACAAAACATCAACATGCTAAAAGTGATGAACTTGGCTTCATTGAATGTGTCTGGCAGGTTCCTAGCTAGGAAAGCTACCATGAAGCTGACCAGAGACAGAAACCCCATATAGCCCAACACAAGGTAAAACATCACAACAGACCCTTCATTGCATTCTGCTATGATCTCTTCAGTCATGGATTGCATGTTAAGTTCTGGAAATGGGGGAGATGTGATCATCCATGCCAGACAAATGCTTGCTTGAATGAAAGAGCCAGAAAAAACAATTAAGAAGGATATTTTTTTCCCCAACCATTTTCTCATGCCAGACCCTGGTTTGGTGGCCATGAATGCTGCAATGACCATGATGGTTTTGGCCAACACAGAAGAAATAGCCACAGAGAAGATAAGGCCAAACACGGATTGTCGCAGGAAGCATATCACTTGAAGAGGTTTTCCCAGGAAGAGGAAAGAGCAGAGGAAGCAAAGCAGAAGGGAGATTAGAAGAGTGTAGGTGAGGCCCTTGTTATTTGCTTTAACAATAGGGGTGTCCTTATAAATAATAAATATTCCAGATATGAACATGGTAATGATTGAAAATAATACAGCAATTATAGCTAAACCAATTCCTAAAGGTTCTTTATAAGTTAGAAAAGTTACGGCTTTGGGGATGCATGTAACTTTATCTTTACTTGGATATTGATCTTCTGAACATTCGGAACAAGCAATCATGTCTGGAAATAAGAGGGAGGGAGGAGAGAGAGAGAGAGATCATGAAACATGGAATCTCAACATCATGATTGATGTAGCTCCAAGTGCAATACATAATCTATATTAGATTAGATCAGTGCTTTGCAAAGCTAGCCACTTTGAAACATCTGCACTCCAATTCTTAGAATTCTGGGTGAAGCATCTTGTAGTTGCAGTCCACACTGCCTCCTAAAGTAGCTAAGTTTGAAAAGTACTGGATAAGATCATTAGATGATGATCTGAAGGTATTGAGGTTGGAATCTTTTGTATTGGTTATAATCAGACACAGGTAACACCAAAAAGGAAATATTTAGAAGCTTCCTAAAGGCCCTTCCCTTCTGGCTTTCCTTTCCAAATGTTATGAATGGATGCATATGAGTGGTATTTCAAAAGGACTTATGCTTATCAAACTGTGTGACTGAAGCCCCATCAATTTTTACCAGGCATATATTACATGCCCCTAAAACAAGGGATTGGATTTCAATCAAATGGACAAACTTGACTTGTCTGTCTGTCTGTCTGTCTGTCTGTCTGTCTGTCTGTCTATCAATCAATCTACCTACCTACCTACCTACCTACCTACCTACCTACCTATCTATTTATCTATCTACATATCTATCATCTAATTATTATTTTATTTATTTATCAAATTTATATAGATGCTCAACTTACCAAGATGGGACTTTGAGCACACACAAGGAGATAAAACAATGTTTTAAAAACCCACATAAAATACATGGATATTCTCAGTCATCCAAGGCCATGGTTGTCCCAAAGGTGTTTTTTTTTTTCCAAAAGACAACTGGATTTTGTTTTTCCTTGAAGACATTTCACTTCGCATCCAGGAAGCTTCCTTAGTTCTGACTGAATGGTGAAGAATGGAAGGATTTATATTCTTTGCAGTCATCTGGTTTTTAGTACTATTTCTGAAAGTCATTGAAGCCACTTGGAGGTCTATCTGTGCCCTCAGAGTCACCTGAATAGTGCAAATGAGTGTGGAACCTTCTTCAACTGCTGCAGACCAGATGATTGCAAGGAATATAAACCCTTCCATCCTCCACCATTCAGTCTGAACTAAAAAAGTTTCTTGGATGAAATGTTTTAAAGGAAAAACAAACAAATTCCAGTGGCTTTTTCAAAAAAACACCTTTGAGACACATACAGTATAAAAATCCATATTAGTGAATATCATAAATGAACAAACTAGGCAATGAGCATGATAAAAACGGTCACTTGAACAATACAGAGGTCTCAAAAAGTGCCCAGTACCTTGGGACCCCCAGGCCTGAAAAAAATAACCAGGTCTTGAATTGCTTTCAGAACATTACAATGGAACTTAAAGATAAAGAGGAGTCAGAGTACTATTTATCATGGGAAACATTGTATAATTGGATAAATAATAGAAGTAGAGATTAGTGTTAAATAAGGAAAGATCAACAAAACACATATATACAGTAATAGGGAAAGATGTAAGAATAAACAATGTAAAAAGTATATTTATGAACTGTACATGAATATAATATGAAGTGCACAAAGTGAGGATTGTAATAATCTATTATGGTAGAAATAATAGAGATAATTTGGATGTATAATATGACATATAATATGATGGATATGATATAATATATGATATTATACTATACGATAGTTTTAACTAGGATGTACAACATGATGGGAAGGGGAAAAAAGGGATTTGATGCAAACAGTACACAATGGCATTGTGTAATTATGAACTGTTATGTGTATTAAGGGAAACTGTACAATAAAATTTAATTAAAAAAAGAACATTGAAAGGGATGGAATAAATCTAATTCTGCAAGGAAGATGCTTTCATAAGACAGACACCATGGCAGAGAAGGGACATATCCTGGTACCCACTCAATGTAGATGTCTAGCTGATGGTACCCATAGCATGCCTTTCTTGCCAAATTTAGTACAGTGGGCTGATACAACTGGGGAGAGGAGATCCCTCAGATAGTCATAAGTGGTCCCAAGTCATAAAGGACTTTTGTCAGGCCTCAAGAATGAAGAAACTTGTGTGGAATTATTTCTAAGCAGTTGTATTCATTGCTCCTCACCTACAGACATAAATCTTGCCAAACTAAAGCAACTACTTGCATCACTTTGAAATTGCTGGAGAGGATCCTTAACTATCTTTCACACAGCCAAACTATCTAAGCTTCACTACCTCTTTGCCTTCTGGAATTTATCTCACAAATGCTACACAATTTCCGCTACATACCCCTGTGTCCTCCTTACCAGTTGTCTATGGAGATTGTCAGTCATCCAGGTCATTGTTGTCCCAAATATGCTTTTTCAAAAGGCGAATGGGCTTTCTGGTTGTTTTTTTTGTTTTTTTGTTTTTTGTATATGATGATGATGTTTCACTTCTCATCCAAGAAACTCCAGTCCCTCTTGAAAAAACACCTTTGGGACTCCTTACTGGCTGGCCTTTGTGATCTGAAACCACACTGAGATATGGGGAAGGCAATTTGTTGATGCAGTAAGAGTGAAGAATTGGCATTGGAATAAATGAAGAAAGCAAATCAGCTACATGTATAAAGGTAAAAGTAAAGGTTCCCCTCGCACATATGTGCTAATTGTTTCTGGCTCTAGGGGGTGGTGCTCATCTCCATTTCAAAGCTGAAGAGCCAGCGCTGTCCAAAGACATCTCTGGGGTCATGTGGTCACTGAAGGCACACAGAATGCTGTTACCTTCCAACTAAAAATGGTCCCTATGTTTCTACTTGCATTTTTTATGTGTTTTTGAACTGTTAGGTTGGCAGAAGCTGGAACAAGCTCACCCCATTACATGGCACTAGGGATTCGAACCGCTGAACTGCCGACCTTTCAATTGACAAGCTCAGTGTCTTTAGCCACTGAGCCACCGCATCCCCTAGCTGCATATGTAAATCATAGTAATTACCACTGTGCAATTTTGCAGTGAAAAAATGTAATGCCACAGAGTAGAGCAGAGTGGAGCAGAACAGAGCAGATTACAGTAGATTAAAATAGAGAATAATTTACCTGACATGTTTGACATCTTCCCATCAGAACATGGATCACAATCATAACAGCAAAATTTCTCACCTTCTTTCTTTTTCTTCTGATAGCCAGCAGGACAGGGATCATTACAGA